TCGGGGCCTGTCGCGCATGGCTCAAGAATGATTTATTTGAACGGTGAATGTGTGTGAATTTTTATTCAGTCCCTGGTGGTTTGATTTATTTGAGCCATCCACGCGAGTCAACTTTTGTTTGTTTGTGGTTTGTGTGTGTGTGGTTTAAATAGATAGAAAGAATGATGATGGGGTTGCGATGTATACGCTAAACCAAAACAAGTCAACATCATAAGAGAACAATGTGTACTTTCTCAGTCCATGATATTTTCAGCAAACAAAAAACAACCCTGCAAATGAGGGCTATGCCTTTCAGGCCATTGTAGGGCTCCCATCTTCTGGTTTACAGCCGTCAAGTATAACGAATGAGACATGTGAGCGTTGGTCTTTGTTCCCCCTTAAAATGCTTTATGGCTACAAGCTTCCGCGGCCCTTCCGCATAGGTTCCTGCCGCGGGCTTCCGTACATGTTCATCGTTTGCCCCGTCCTTCCGCGGCACATGCTTTGCAAGATGTCCTTCTACGAGTAGTGGCGAAGAAAGGGCTGTCTCGAAAACTGAAACAATTCACATCAAACCACAAAGCTTCCGTGAACCTTCCGAAACACTTTGCGATTGCTTCCGCGCATGTGGCGCAGGCCACATCTTCAAGCCCCACTACTTTCAAGTTGTGCGCAAAGGCCGACATGGGTTCCGGAGTCCCCTTTAAAAATCACCCGCCAAAGGGAACCTCATTCAATACTGACTCAACATCGAAATACAAAGACTGCGGCCACATTCGCCCCTACAACAACAACCGCAAAACAAGTCGGGTACCACCGCAATTGTGAGAAAAAATCCGCTCTTGATGTCACCTGCTTTCAACCTGCGGATGCGCCAAATTGTTGCCCCAAACATGTCCAAGAAATGATTCAAATGCATTGGAACCAGAGACCATTGCCAGCCTGGCACAGATGTTTATTTGTAAAGTCCTCCAAAACGATTGTGGGCATACATTGGCATGATCCCATGTGGAGGATCTATTCGACTGTCTGGGTATCCAAGCAAACAAATATCCAAGCCAAACAAATAAAACATCTGCCCCTAGACTAAACTATGAGACTATGGTTTGCCATGCGGCGGTAAGGTGTAAAGTGTCAGTATCATTTGTCTTCTTGTTATTGGGAATTCTTGTTTGGTTGGAATTTAGCGCGACTTTATGCCTTTTGGGTCCATGTTTAGGGCTTAGGGTTTGGGGTTTTTGGCGTTTATAGTTTTAGGGTTTATAGTTTTAGGGTTAAGATTCAGGAGGGTTCAGGATTTAGGGCAAGGCGGCGGGGGTCGTGGGCCCGGGCAAACCCCAGGAATTGGCCTATGATGACTATATAGACTGCCGAATATCGGGCCCACATTGCCACGAACCTCCAGACCACACGTGATTTCTTCTGCATTCATTTGAGTCACGAATCCAAACTTGGTATCAACATGGTCTACCCAGAGCCATGTAAAGAATCGCCAGAAGCCGGGAAAATCCGCACCTATAGTATATCTACTTTTTTTTGGGGGTGGGGTCTGTCCCTTACAAACCTTCACTTGCCCCGGCTTTTTAATGAATCTATTTGGCCCCACCTCAAGAGGACAACCTCTCGGGCCCTTACCTGGACTTCTTCGCGGGCTTGGCCTTGGCCTTTGCCTGGCCTCAGCTCAAATGAGCTGAAGGAAGGCGGGGGCGGATGGGGTGGGGAGTCCCAGAAATGGATTCCTCTGGACGGGTTTGCCGGGGATGCTTATAAATCTGAGTCTCTTGCCAATGGACCCGTAATCCCAACTCTCATCCATATGAAACAAATGATTTGCTTACGTATTGCTTCCTTGCTTTGAACGGCAACAGCTCGTGGCCCATGTCCAAAGCACATGTGCCTCTAGAAGCGCAACACACAAAATGTAAGCGAAGGGTCCAGAGGGAAAGGGCAAGGTCTACACGACCTGGATGCAGCTGTCAAGCCTTTGGGGTCTGTTTCACCCAGCACAAAGGGTGGGCTGACCATCACCCATAAATCTATTTGCTGGGGCGAACGCACGAAAGGAAATGGGCTGCTCCAAAGTTCAGCTGGTCACGCGCAAAGCTTTTTGCCAGGGCTCAGGAAGACGCTCCCTCTTACTGCTTCTCAGCAAAATGGACCCTCAATGGAATGGTGTGTGGGAAGCAAACCGCAAAAAGGTCGGTGGTTCACTTCCCTCTTCGGACGACCTTGCACTGTTGCCTTGTTCTGCTACCTGGCGACACATCTAAAACTTCGAGATGGGCTTGCCCCCCTCAGGTTCTTTCTTCCATGTAGCCTTGCATTGGTCCAGTGGCTCTCAAATAGCAGCCACACGTTTGCAACGGGTCTCTCTTCATGCATTGTCGCTGTTGGCTTGCACACCTTGACCTTCGGCCTTACCCCCCCCCTAGACATCATTTAGGTGGGGATTAGTATCCACCAGAAACTCTGCTGGGCTGTCCTCAGATCCCCGATAATGTTTAACTTTTAGTGGGTAAATGGACATCCCCACAAAATAGTGAAAAGCCAAAAAGCTAAAGGGATGGCTGGGAGCCACCAAGCCCGGTTTCTGATTCGATTTCCGGGCAAATACCAACAAATGAATTTCAACCATGGTTTCAACCTGGTGGATTTCGTGCACATCCAATAGCCCCTTTGAAAAGCCCAAGACCCGGCCCTCGACAAACCGACAAACCCAACCGAGGTCTCGGCCGCATTCCGGCTGTTGCGGAGCCATCATGAAGCCCAACTGGGGGTACCTAAGGACCGAAGAGGAACTTAGGCCGAGGCACTCCCAAGTTGAAAGGGACCCAATGCCTCCAAATTTCTGGTGGGTTCTCAAAGGTATCCTATTCTTTTCAAACAAGCCATCACTCCTGCGAAGCCGGTAAACCCAACCTGGACAAGGGCACTGACAAGTAAATCGAAACATTAACATATGATCATGATGTTCATCAATTGGCTCCACACCCACTATCTGGAATTGCACAGGAACCCTCCCGTGTCAAGAGGACAATTGTCTTCCAAAAGGGAGTTTAGGTGTTTGGAGTAGGGGGTCCAAATCATGCGGAGAGGAGCCTCGCTGACTTTGCACGCACCCTGCGTGAAGTGTGTGTGTGTGTGTGAGGACCGTGCATGCATATGTACACAGTCATAGCCGTGTATAGCCATGTATACATCTATACATAGTATGCATACATCTAGACTTGATACATTATATATCGATGTATCTACCTTAGAGGTCTACATGTAAATACATCTATGCAACCTATACATATGAAGGTTCATGTATTGATTGCCGGTAGTTGAACGTCCCTGAGCGGTGAAACGGTCTCCCTCTTCTTTGGATAGGAATTGACTTAGAGACTCTGCCACGCAGACACATGTCACGAGATCAGCCTGGGTTGGCTTCTTCCGTCCCACCAAACACTACGCGATAAACGTTTTGCCAGAACTCGAAGGGTTGGACGGCCGTCTCAGTTTGTGAGTAGGTGTTGCTCAATTCTCCCATGCAATCATGACTTTTTTTTGATTCAACTGGTTGAAGCCAACAACTGGCGATTGCTTGGGGATGGGGGCGTATGGCTGGAAAGCCGGCCCATCCCTGTCTTCCAACCAGTCGCTTCCTTGTTGCTCCGGGTGAAGTACAATAAACATGCACTACTCCTCGTGCAACTGCCGTGACCCAGCACACGCAACGCTGCACTTTTGCCGGGGTCACGTGCCTCCTGACCAAAAAGGCAAAGATTCGAGGCCCATCTTGGGCCTGAATCCCAAATTTCCCCGCTCACAGCCTCTGAGCTGGAGGAGTACGGGGTGGTGGTGGGAGCCGAAAACTCCGTTGACCCGAGAATCGTGCATGCTTACCCCTTTTGGATTAAACATGCACTACTCCTCGTGCAACTGCCGTGACCCAGCACACGCAACGCTGCACTTTTGCCGGGGTCACGTGCCTCCTGACCAAAAAGGCAAAGATTCGAGGCCCATCTTGGGCCTGAATCCCAAATTTCCCCGCTCACAGCCTCTGAGCTTTGCCCCCTCCTCCACGCGTCCCCTGCTGGCTGACAGAGGCACAGAAAGCTTGTCGCGCAGCGCGAATGGCAGGAAGGGAGGTCGGAGGCAGGGCGAGGTTGGTAAACTCCTGAAGCCCTTGATCAAGATACAGGCGAGCAGTTGCAACGTGTTTCCAGCGCCCTTTTAACAGAAGCTCATCAAGCGTGGCCCCTTGCCGGTAGGCCGATGTGGCGCCACCACGTCGCAAGGAATACGGTAAGTAATTGAATTGCTCCAACTGAAGGGAGGCCACCACCTGCTTCCAAAGCTTCCGATACTTTGCAGAAGACTCAGTGACAAGGAAATCAGTAGGGGCTCGGCCCACGCACAAGCGCTCCAAAGATTTAATCCCAGTCTCCTCAGTGATCAGCACTTTTTCCCATTGCATGTGGTTCCTTTGGCCGGTTTTGGTGTCTTCAAGAAAAATGATGGCAGCTTGGCCCTGACGCGCAGGGAGTACCACATGTTGCCGCCGCAGTTTGAACATCTCGCCAGTGCGAAGGAAGCCACAAAAGCCAACAACAGTCAAGTAGGCTAGCCGCTCCCACCGCCATTGCAAAAACAGGCCCGCAAAAGCAAGGCACATCTCTGGTGATAACGGGGTTGCTCTGATTGGCTGTTCCAACCGGCTCCATAGGCTCACCAAGCGCCAAGCCTCACTGATCTGTCTTTTGTGCTGCGGGGCAAAGTACTGAGCTGCTGCCAAGGCATAGCTTGCCATGGTCCTGGTGTCTCCATCTTCCCAGAGATGCTCAATGTAGTTTTTAAGAACCAAGTTCAGCTGCCCACCGTCTTGTAGCAGTGCTTGCCGTGAAACGCGTGCAAAGTTCACCAAGTCACCAAAAGCCTCTTGGTAGCGTGTCAAGGTAGTCTGTGAAACTCTTTTGTCCTCAAGCCGCCCTATCTGCCGTCTCTCCTCTCGCCTTGCCTCCTTTGTTGTCAAATACTTAATTGTCCTTCGGCTCATAGCGTCTGGACGGCTCATCCGCTGGGTTGAGCTTGGATGCGATCCAAGCCCAAAGAGGGTAGAGGTTCAAGGCGATGCAGAGGGCGGCAATCTTTCGCAAAATGCGATTCAACTTGCGGCTTGAGCTCCTCCCCTTTGCAAGGACTGCTAAGCAGATCTGGGAGTCGCTCAAATGCAAAAAGCGGCAGGAGTGGAACGTTGCAGATCTGGCTCGCCATTCCAGCGAATGAAGAATAGCCCGCAATTCCAGCACGTTGATGTGTTCACGGCGATCCCACTTGTAGGAGTGAGCCACCTTCCAGACCCACCTCCGTGGGTCCACGGTTGTTCGGGCAACCGCATCTGGTCTGTAGACTACTTGAAGATCTAGCCTCACGTCAGATCCTCTAAACTCGGCCCGGCGAAGGTACTGGTGAACCAGCCGGGCTGCCAGGAGCTTCGGGTCTGGAAGACGCTCACCATCCCTGCTGCTCATCCTCAGCCACTCCATCAGCCCTGGCGGCTTTTCTATTTGAAGCAGCCTGTCTTCTTCCTCCTTCTCATTCAGAGACGTTGCATGGGTCACCTCCGTTCCTTCCATCAGGCCCTCGTCGTTGTACCTCCTAGTGCGCATCATCTGGTGCCATTCCTCTACAATCTTTGAAGCGCCCTTGGGGTCAGTCCGCACTCCAGCGGTCCAAAGCCAGAGGTCCAAAAGACACGCCACCTTCACAGCATGGAAGGAGTTGCCAATGGCCGCCTCACGCGCCACCTGCTGCCTGAACTCCTCCTCTGTGTTTGTAGGGTCCTTTTTGTGCAACGCAAGGGTGTAGCCAGCAGGATAGCCCATCAAACGCTCACGCTCCGTGACGGAGGCAACCCGCTTCTTATCAGCTTCACCCTTGCACTCCATGAGATATTGCTGCTGGTAGGTGTAAGGAGGATACTTCATCAAGTCATCCTTCCACCTCCCAACTGTTTCCTGGTCACATAGCCTCAACCCCGCGGGCTCTGCCGGAGGCTTTGTCCTTGGGATAGCCCTCGTGAAAGTGGGCAAGCAAAGGCTGGGGTCAGCCTTGCCGGCGGGCCACTCCCATCCAGCATCGATCACATCCTCAAGTGGCTCACGCTTCTCGTTGAACTCAATGATGTCGTACAAGGCTGTGTGCCCGCGCCCAAAGCTCTCATGGTCCCCCATTTCCACGTTGCACCAGTACAGTCTGGGCCGCCTGACCCTAGAAAGTCCACTGGCGCAGCAGTAGATTGGCCTGCGGTTCAGTTCACCGCTCACCTCGGAGATGTCTTCGTCATCCCCGACAACATTCTCGACGAACTGAACATCCCATATCTTCATGGCAGCCGCTAGCTCACTCACCCAGCGGAGCACCTCCCCGAACTTGTAGAACAAAGCACTCCGAGGATCATCAAGATGT